AGAAATTTATAGTACTTTTTCAAAAAAATCTAAAAAAAATATAGAACACTTCAAATATATATAGTATTATTTTTTTTTTTAAGAAAAAGTAAAAATGCTTTTTAAGTGAACATATTTTTTCTTTCTTATGCATTTTCTCTATAAAAAAATATATTTCTTTGAAAATATCATATGATTTATCGCTGTCAATATGTATTTAAATTAATATGAATCAAAAGTTTATTTTTTATTAGTGAGATATTCGCTTTATTTCTCTCATCTCACCATTTCAAAATCTTTCTGTGAATGCCGAAGTTACAGGAATTGAGAGCATAAGCGAAATAATTTTAAGTAAATTTGGTAAATCTTTCTAAGTATTTTTAAAAATGACGCAATTTTTTTATCTGTGGACCCTTTGCTTTAAAGTATATTTATTTTAATATTGATATTTCAGTATAAATGTCATCCGTTTTAAAATATTTCTTTCTTACAAATGACTGAAATATATTTGTACTTGTAATTCAAGAAATATAGTATTTTTGCGTACTATATTTTTTTCCAAAAGTATATAGCACGCAGACCCAAAAAATAGCACAATACTATATATTATAGTACGGTTGGCAACCCTCCAGCTAAGTGACGGAGGTGGCAGGTGTTGCTGCTGTTACACGTTGAGGCGCGCTGCTGTCAGCTGTAATTAAACTACTCCCCACCAGGGATGGAAAAGTATGTAGGTACAATTGTATCTACCTTTTTCCGACTCTTACGAACCAAAAGGTACATTCGGTACACTGAGCTCAATTTAGGTACAATTAGACGATAGCCAACTAAATATCCATATTAAAGACTATGTTGCTCGCAAAAAAAAAAAAGGAAAATTTTTGTAAACAAGGAACATTGTGAACAGGCCATTGCGGCAACAAGAAATCTTAGCAAAGTGGCCAAGTTCCTTCATTAAATTCTTTGTGAACAGTTTGTAGGGATTTCTAGCAAAGTGGCTACACTGCATGTGTGTGAATAGAAATTGTGAATGAGTCTAGGGCTCTGTAAAAAATAAAAATAAAAAATCTGCATGAAAACATTTAAAAGTATTTTTAACGGAATCGTAATAATGAGATTTTTGATGCTGTTTTCTTACTTTTACCAAAGATTAATTTACGTAAAACTTGAATAACTTTCTGTCCAAAAAAAAATCATTCGTGTCCGATTTATTTTTTAATTTTTTGTTTCAAATACCAACACATCTTAATTCAACTTTGAATGAGGTTCGTTCATCCTACCTTTCTCATTCAACCTTTTATCATTTACTCATTTTATTAGCAAAGAAAAGGGTACCATTTCTACGAAAACTTGATTTTTCGCCATATAAAATAACTGGAAAACTTAGAGTGATTTGAGCGACCCCTAAATATTTTTTGATTTCCAAATAAAAACTACTTTTCGGTAGAGGGTGAGAGCATTAAAATTCCGACTTTCAATGTACATACATATACATATGTATCCTTCTTGAATTGTTATGAATATTAATTCAACTGTACTGATATATTAATCACTCTCTTATTAATGCAAATAATGTATCAATTTATTAAATTGTTACCAATTTTCCGAAAATAATAAAAAAGAGTTAACAAAATAGTGAGCCACTTTTCAGGTACATTTACCATCGGAAAAGGTACATTTCTATTGCCAAATTAGGTACAATTTAAAATTTCGATTTTCCATCCCTACTCCTCACTGACAGTTTACTTTTATCGGCCTTCATTTATTTCTGCTGAATCGTTCGTATGTCGTATCTATGTATGTACGCATATATTGGCGTTATTTCTTGAATTTACATTCATTTTCCTGTATTTATTTAGCTTTTCGTGTTTCTGGTTTAATTCGATAAGCCATTTATTTGTCAATGTCGTAACTGTGTTGACACAGTTTAAAGACTTTTGACGCGACTTTTTCTTTAGAAGGTTAAAAAAGTTTACGGTATCAGATGAAGGTCGAAACTTAAGTTAACTTAAAGTAGATCTAAAATTGAATCCAATGCATTATATGTATAGGGGGATTCAGCCACTCCAACTGAGGTATTTCCAAGCATCTCTCAGGAGTTTGTAATAGTAGAAGGCACGAAGGGCGGTGTTCTAACAAGTCTTTAACTCCGTCCATACCATCCTACTAGACCAATGTGAACAAATTTGCCGAATAATTGCCTACTGGTTGCCAACAACGTATCGTAGTCTTTGCTCCAAGTCTTTGCCTCTTCTATTGAGGTGGTTAAAATAGCGGATTTTGCAAAGGAAGAGAGGAGGTTTCGTGCAGTTAAGAAGTTAGAACGCTCAGAGATATGTGCTGAAGTTTAAAGGTGCTGGGAAAAGGACACAACTTTTTTAATTCTTACAACCTTCGAAGTTTGATCTCGAAAAATATACATATATATGAAAATCGATATCGCAGATAATTCGCTGTCCACCGTTTTATTTACTGTGGGAGGGAGAATGACTTAACTTCCTCCAGTAGTTGAAATGACAATGGGTCTCCGCCGTAGCCATAATCAGCTGATATCTGAAGTGCGAGTAAGAACGTGTTGCCAGACATTAAATAAAAATAAAAAATTAAAAATATTGTTCACAGCCAACCTTTGGCATGTGTCTAGAATATGCACCATTGAGCTATACGAAAAATGTGGCTCGATGGCACTTCTCACGCTGATTATAACTGAACCAAAATTATTTGGCGCAAAAATATAACGAACATAAAAAATTTTAAAGTAATATTAATCTGCCTTATCCTGAGTTTCGCCTGAAAAAAAATTCACCCGAAAAATTTGTCATCCGCCCATAGTAAAACCATGGAAACCGAGAGAAAAAAGTGAACCGGTTCGGGGAAAATGAAACTCATGATAAGGCTGAATATCTTATGAATTATATAACCGATTAAAAAACTAATGATGCCAAAATCAAGACAATTAATTTATCTTTCAGCTACATAATTTATAAAAATTTGAACTATTAATTTAGTGGACAAAGACAGAAATTCTTCCGCGTCTGGCAACACCGACATTGTTGACTACGTAAAATCATCTGTTTATGGTTATGATGCCTATAATCGATGATAGGTAATGTGGTTACAGTTATGGCAATGAATATGTCTATAGCGTTATGGTATGCCACCACTAATTTAACCTTTAGATCGACGAACCCTAACCTACAAATACTATAATAGGGGTGTTCCCTTTAAACTCATAAAATCCTCGTAAACCTCGTAATGCTCGTAAATTTACCAACCTCGTAAAATACCTGTCAAAATTTGTATGGAACTCTATTTACGAGCCCCTCGTAAAATTACGAAGCAAATTTGATGCCCAATATAAATATGTAATCATCTATTAGATCACTCGGATATTTAAAACTTGTTTTTTTGTTTTGAAACCTTACAGTCGTCAGACCATTTCGAAATGGAAACATTAAATCGCTTTTTTGATCCCGCGATGCTATTTAACGAAAAGTTACCCTAATCCACATAATATTAATAAGGAAACGAGATTTGTAGTACAGAAAATGATTACAAATTTATAGTTGTTGAATCATGATAAAGGATGCTTTAATTTAAACAATAAGAAAATAGTTTGACTCCTTTCAATTATGCTGAACTGAATATTTGCACTAATGTTTTATATTAGGGGTATTCTCTGAGTCTTGCAAAGCCCTTGCACGGTGCACAGATGGCACGGACTGCACGGTAAAAACCGGTTTTCGTATGGGTCAGCTTTGCAAACCGTGCAATCCGTGCACCTTGCAAGGGCTTTGCAAGACTCAGAGAATACCCCTATTATGATTTGTTTAACCCGAACGCGTCGGGTGCTCTGCTAGTGTATACGTAAATGCTCTGAATGAAGAGAACAAGTCGATTAAGCAATGTCTGTGTGTCGCTCCCGCTTGCAGCCGCACCTACAGGTGAACCAAGAATGATAGAATACAAGATTGCGCCGATCAGAGAGGATTTTTGAGAATAACTTTTGCGTGACGTCATACTGGTGCAATTGCGAGAGAGAAATGCCAAAACGTGAGCAAGAATGGAAGAAGAAGAAAAAATGTTGCAAGGAAAACGTAAAAAGTTGCACAAGTGTGACGTCATGCAAACAACGATTCTGTCAAATTCGTTAAGAGAGGAATAGCGGTCCGAGATCGGCGCAACCTTAGTATTCTCTCAATCGTGCAGGTGAACAGACTCTACAGACTTCAGTGAGCCCCACCGAAGCTCCCTCTCTTTCCGCCGTGGCACAAGACTCCACTCGGATTGGTTACCGCATCTCGCACATGGGTTGCTCACGTTGCCCAGATTGCGCGAACGAGGCTGCAAGAGTCGGGATTGAGTATAGCTGTGCAACTGTAACTGCATACCCAGCACAGCGACTGTACCCCATTGCACTCATTGCATTTGGTATGTAGGTTTCCCTTTATCCAAGTTAGGTTGGCACTGAAAATGGGCAATATCGGCCCATTACCACGCCCACTTCCCATATAACGGTATTTTCGAAATATTGGATCCAAATTGTTGGAAATCAGTATGTGAAGTAGAATTTTGTTGAGAAATATTTTTGTGAAAGTTTTGAAAAATTGGCGTAACCCCGGCCACCTATGATGAACTGCTGTATCTCAGTAGCCGCTTCGCCAATCCTTACCAAACTCAATTTGTATGGGATATTTTTCTGACTATGTGCGTATGGCATAGAAGGTTTATGAGGAATCCATTTCTGCACTTATCCCTTTCTTAAAACTTCGACCTGAGGGCACAACAGTGAAAATTTTTCACATACATATTCTTCGAAACCAATTTTCGCAATTCTTTCTCTATATGGTTTTCCGGGCTTTCCATAGATAACTTTGCTATACAGAGTTTTTAATACAGAATTTTGAACCATAATTATTTTTTACCCAACCAGGTTTTTTTTTAAATAAATATTATTAAAATTATTCCATATTAATTAAATCGTACGAAATACTAAAAACTGTTTCACTTGACCCTTACAGGAACTCGACATGGAATGCTGTCCCAAGCCGGTTGTCTTTGTCGTACATAATTGCCTATCAGCGAAGGTGCATTCCATCACCTAAGAGATGCAGTGAGTACAGTGAGTAGTGGGCAGCAGTCGCAAAGAGACTGCAGTTAGGGGTTTATCTATAAATTCCAGTTAAGTCTGCAAGTAGACAAAAAAAGTATTTCAAATCAAATTGAATGTAATTTAATTGAACGGCAAAGTATCGAAATAGGAACGTAGAGGAAATAGAAAGAAAAATCGTAGCGAAAATTTTTGTAATTTCATACCAAACGAGGAAGAATGAATATAGCATAATAAAATAATGGCAATTAAAAAAATTTACTTAGAACTTTTTTATTTATAAATTGTATTTGTATATTTAGAAAAGAAAGTGTAGTAAAGTAAAGTTTAAGTAAAACAGCGGAAAAGCAGAAAGCGGCTGCAATGAGAATATGCGTGCTTCCTTGTTTTACTTAAGAATGAAAGTTAGTCTTCAAAAAATTAGAAATAAAACTAAAAACACTTAACTTGTAAAAGTCAAAAGACGAGTATTTAGTATAAGAAAGTATATATGTATAAATATGTATGTATATGTATGTATGTATATCACTGTATTTTCTGCACTCTGTAAACTGTACTATACACAACTCTTCAGAATTACATACTTAAGGTACATACATACATATTTGAATAGACTACTTTTATACTTCACTCACTAATTAAAGCTAACTTTATATTACATATTTTGAAATCTCTTGCGAAGAAAAAAAAAACAACAAACGAAATTCAACTGAAATTGTAAAATTTTCGAATTAAAGCGCACAAAAAAATGCATAGCGAAGATTAGAAATAAGCATACATACATACATTTAAAATCTAAAAGAAAATATTGAAAAGGTATGTAAAAAAATTTCAATCGGAATGTGTAGAAAAAATATAGCTTTTTGGAATCTGTTTAATTAAATTGCACATTCGGCAAATATTTAATTAACAAATGCAAATGTAAGCAGGCTCATGAACGATTGCCTGCACAATAACAACAAAGAACACATGTTATGCGACACAACAAAAACAACAACAACAAAAACAACAAATATATTTGCTAATGCAGAAAGAAATACAGCAATTGTTCGTTTTTACAC